TCGGAATGGAGAAAGATTCACTTCTCCATCCCATTCCACTCTAGAGGAAACAGGGAACCTGAATCAACTCCATTAGTTCCATCTGCTGAGACTGGATCTTCTAGAACCTAACACCAATGGAGTACTGGGTACAGTTGCTCTCTCCATATTTGTTTGGAGAGTGCATTGACTTGGCCCAGTGTCTTCATTCCTGAGGGTATCTGTTTCACTCCTGCAAGAAAATGCCATTTACATGAACAGGGATGGTGACAGGATAGGGCTTATGATCCAGGAGCCTGAGTCAAAAAAGGATCATCTCAGGGTCACAACAGAGCAATTAAGAGCTTGGGCTTAGAAGCCGGTCAGCCAGGCCTGTATTTGAATCCAGCTTCACATTTAACAGTTGGGCAACTTTGGCAAGTTACTGCACATTCCCCACACTCAGTTTCCTCATCTGTAGACATGGAGGTAAGGGAACACGAAGAGCATTGAAAGAGATGATGTGTGTCAAGGGCAGACACACTGCCTGCAGCTCAGTAAGAACTTAGTTAATATTAACAATAATGATTTTTATTTATGCTGGGGCTTGTCCATGGGAAGCAGACTTACGTTGTGACAGTTATGTGTTCGTTTGATTCCATTTTATTTTCCACGTGTAAGTACTATAGGCTTGAAGACTATCCAGGAAGTTAGGCTGGGGTCAGATGACTGAGTTTTGGCCAATGGGATGTGGGCAAAACTGATGCATGTCAATGACATCCAGGTCTGATTCTTTAAGGATCTTGACTTGTGCTTTTTCTCTCCCTCATTTGCACAGCTAAAAAGGAGGGACCCTAAGATGGCAGAACCACAGGATGGAAGAAACTCGGATCCCCCAAATGTCTGCATGGAGACGATTTGATAAGGAGAGATGCCCGAACTCTATTAAACTTGATAAGAGTAAGATATCATTGTTTATCATGTTGAACCAAACATTTCAGGGCTTATCTGTCATTTTATTATAACAGAGCCCATCCAGACTAATTCATGAATGAAAACTAGCACAGGAAGTAGATGAGGGAACCAGCTGATCAAGAAACGATGGATATTCCCAGTAAGGTAGAGACAGATACTGTAAACTTTTCATCAATAGGAAAATAATTATCACAATTTAAAAACAAAATTTATTGGGGCGACTGGGTGGCTCAGTTGGTTAGAGCGTGTGCTCTTAACAGCAAGGTTGCCGGCTCGACTCCCGCATGTGATGGTAGGCGGTGCCCCCCGCAACTAAATTGAAGATGGCGGCTGGACTTGGAACTGAGCTGTGCTCTCCACAACTAAGATCGAAGGACAACAACTTGACATGGAGCTGATGGGTCCTGGAAAAAAACACATTGTTCCCTGCAAAAACACATTGTTCCCCAATAAAGTTTAAAAATAAATAAACAAATAAAAAACAATATTGATTGCTAATTTTCCACACAATTCCTTGCTGGAACCAGACACTTGTGATCACATGGGGCCGTTTTTGTGACATGAAAGCCTTAGTCTGCGCTTTCTGATCTCGATAGAGCATCACTGCTGCCCCAGTTCCATGCCCCAAACTTTGTAGAATTGTGTGGATCAAAAACATCCTCTCCATAAATTTCAGTAAATTAGCAGTGAATGTCTGCAATGGAAATATACTCTCATTTAAAATGCACGTCATGGCATGTATCTTGTCTGGGGACCACCTGTTGAAAGCAGCAGCCACTTGTAATTACACAATGTCAAATGATCATAGCCAGTTCACATAAGAACGTGTCCACATATGTTTAGCAAAACACTGCACTGGACCATGGTTGTCCTATGCCAAATGGACTGGAAATTAACCCTGTAAAGCTCTGTCTTGGAGACTTGAGGGCCTTTGCATATACTGTGCCTACTAACTGGAATTCTCACTCTGCATACAGCTAGTTCTTCATCTTCAGGCCCCTGCCCACAGGTCAGCTCTTCAGGAATGCCTTCCCTGACTACTCTTTCTACAAGAGGTCCTCCCCCCACTTAATTCTCTACCTTTGGATCCTATCCATTTCCTTCATAGCACTTACTACAACCTGTAATGGGGTGGGGGTGCTACTTATTTATTATCCATTTCTCACACTAGACCTAAGTAACCATGAAGTCCACCCTATCTCTAGAATTCCAGATATATGAACAAAGAAAGCCCCTGTAGTGTTAAAACCAGTTTCAGCTGGATTTTTCTCATATGATAGTTGATTTTACAGCTAAAATCTTCCTAACAAATGTATTTCCTCTATAGCGTTATATTGTCTTCCTGATACCGTCTGTATAAATTTAAAAATGTCTATGTGTCAGGCCCTGTATTAGGTACTTTCATTTAATTTTCACAATAACTCTGAAAGTTAGGGATGATTTCATGCTGTTTTATAGATGAGGAAACTGAGACCCAAAAGGTGTAACTTTTTGTTTTGTTGTTTCTGCACCCCTTCTTTTGGAGGAGCTGCCCTTCCCACCCTGTGTGATTCTGAAGGACCTGTCATTCAAGTATGTCTCAAGGGCGGGCACATGATCCAGGCTGGCCAATCAAGGCATCTCTCCACCTGGACTCTGTGTCTGGGCCAGAGGGAGACACATGATCAGCAAAGCCAATCACAGTGCCTTCTTGTCACATAAATGCTAGGATAGTAAGAATCTCTTTCTGACTCTAGGATCACACACTAAAAGGACCTTGTAACCCTGTTACTACCAGGAGCTATCTTGCTGCCATGTAATGAGAGCCTACCTAAGAATGACATCCACATTTAATGAGAGTGAGTGAAAAAGAGGCCAATGGCACCACTTGAACCCCTGGATCCAGCTGTGCCTGAGACACACACCGTGGACTTCTCAGTTACATGAAGCAGTAAATTTATCGTTACTCAACATGGTCTGAGTTGGGTTTCTGCCACCTGCCCCTGAATAAGGATGAAGTGAGCACCATGTAGAAGCTCAATAAATATAAGTTCTCTCAATTTTTCTCCTTAAAGTGACCACTCCTGATAACCTCTCAGATCTATCAGGTGACATGTCAACTGTGCTACTCCAGCCACCCCTATTTTTCCTCACTACCCCTTGTATGTCACATTTGGTCCAGCCACTAGGCCATGCACATGCTATTCCCTCTCTCTGGCTGCAGAATTATGTCTTTCCAAAGGGGCTCACTTTTGAGTAAATTTCCCTAGTCCCTTACCCTGAAAATGACTGACAGACCCATTTGCTAATAGTGGCAGAGACCACAGCAAGAATCAAGAGCCTTTAAGCGAGGTAGATTACCTCTGTAATGTCCTATTTTAAAAGTTAGTGGATCGTACTCTGTAAAGAAAGGACTATGGTTTCCCATCATGCTGAGTTTTATACTCAAGGGAACTTCGTAGAAATTCTCACTCCATCACAGCCCTATTACCAGTTGAGTAAGGCAGCAATAAATGTACCCAGCAGACAAGATGAGAAAACAGAGGCCCAAAGACGCGAAGCAATTTGATTCAATAGCAATCAAGTCCAAACTGGAATTGGAATTCTTCCCACCTCAGCTCAGTCTGAGAGGCACGGACATGTCCTACTTTTGGCAGGCCACAATTATAAGCACCCATTCCCCAACCCTCTACCATAGCTGGTGCCCAGTCAATTTAGCCAATGAAGCCCCATCACGTTAGGTTGACAGATAAAATATAGAGTGGCCAGTTAAACTTGAATTTCAGATAAGTAATCTTTTTTTTTTTTTTCAGTATAAACCTGACCCAAATATTACACGAGACATACTTATACTAAAAAATATATTCATTATTTAACTGGCTGTCCTGGAGTTTTATTTGCGAAATGTGACAATGCCACATCAGATGTTCTCCAAGTAGACCAGATAAGGGGTGAAAGTTGCACTTTCTCTGGAAAGTCAGGTTATTCTTGCACGGATCCCCTAACACTGCTCTTCAGTACAGAGCATGACCGTGAGGTTTGATACTAGGATTGGGTTTGATGTTATTTGATACTGTGACTGGGATCCAGGAACTCCTCTGTCGTACCCTATTATTCATCCCACCTTCCAGGAGCTTCCTGGAGGGTCTGTTCGCACAAGGAACAATGGCAAAATGGGACTCGGGAAGCCATTTAATTATAGGCAGAGCAGTTGCCCTACCTATTAGGATACATGGCCCATTGACCAGATTAGCAATTTGTCTGCCCTTGGCGTAGAGAGGCGTGCCAAGGACGGGAGCAGGCAGAGGAAGCCGAGGCATGAGCACTGAGCGTGGCTGCTGTTAACCTCTGGTGCTGTCTCTAGTTCAGGTTCAAAGAACCAGGGCAGTGGTCTCTTTCGGAAACCAAAACTGAGATTTGAAAGCTAAGGGGATAAACCAAGCCCGGTCATACAATCAGTGAGGAGAAAGCCAGGCGACTAAGAGAGAAGAACAAAGCTGGTATGAATAAAGAGAAGAAAAGAGGGCCTTTAGTTCTCTTAGACCCCTCTTCTCCAGTTCTTGGTTTTAGCTGCACTTCCTCTGCTGAGAACTTTGAATAAATTCCCCTTTTTGTGCGTAAGCTAGCTTGGGTGGGTTTCTGTTACTTATACCCACTCTGTCACTTACTTAACAGAAAAACAACCAAATAAAGAGGCAAGGTTCAAGTTCAGTTCAGTTCATTGCAATTTATTTAATTTAAAAATAAAAACAGAAACAACAACAACAAAAAAACCAAAAACAAAACAAAAATCAGTTTCCAATGAAAATACAAACACTTCGGGTAGTTATCCAGCTTTTTTTTTTTTTTGCTTTTTTTTTTTTTTCCTCCCTGTAGGCTGTTCTGGGCTCAAACCAATCAAATGAGTGAAAACCAATTTTGACTGGAGCCATAAAGCATGTTGCACCAATTAAATTACAACACCAATATATTATTATAATACCTTTGAAATGCCTTTCAGACCAATAAATAAAAAAAAAGACAAATTCAAATAAAAAAGTCAACTTTTTATTACCCAAAAAAATAGAAATTAAATAAAAGTCACAACACGGATTAAAAAAAAAAATGTGCAGTCAAGTTTCTCGCTCTCTCTCTCACTCTCTCTCTCTTTTTTTTCTTCTAGGAATGATACCATGCCAGTTAATCCCTACAACATTTCCAGTTTGGCAATAAGCAGTCAGTCAGTCATTCACATTTGTACTCAAGACAGCAGGTCTGGGCCAACACTCACCTGAATTTCACCCTGAAAAGTGCTCCCTGTCATCTAAAGCAGCAGCACCTTATAACAGGGATGGAAATTAAGAGAGTACTTGGCACTTTCATTTCGCCTGGCGTCTTGAAGCACTTCCTGAAAACTGATCATGCCTTGAAATTTACCTGTAAAAAGAAGTATAATTCTACTCCTTTGGCAGATGTGTAAACTAAGACACTGAAAGGCCCACAGAGGCAAGGAAAGGACCAGGAGAGCTGACGTCGAATCTCCTGCTTGGTCCACCAGGTCATCGTGTCTCTCACTTGTAATTCCATGGAAATGAAGGAGGCACGGCTTCCTTGGCCGGGGATTGGCCGGTAGGGACGACAGGGCTTCATCAGGAAGCAGGAAAACTGCTTTTTAGGGTTTTTCCCTCTATTCCCAATTTTTCCTTGAAAAGACAGAGTGAATATCAAATCTAGAATTGGAGGATTTAGCAGAATGTCAGAACTCGGCAGGGCCTGAGCAACCAGCTAATCCATCCCTCCAGCCCTCACTGAAGGGAAGACTTAGCCCCTACAACACTACAGGCCACCAGCAAGTTAGCAGCACACCAGGACTCAACTCAGAATCTCTGCCTCTGAGTGGAGAACTGCCTTTGCCACAATCCACTGTCTGGGTTTATTGACAAAAGAAAACATAAGAGTGTGTGTGTGTGTGTGTGTGTTGGGGTTTTCTTTTGGGGGGGGCGTAGAATAATTTTCCTTGAAGTGTCATTTTTATTGAAAGATTTCGAGAAGGCTAGAAAATACTAAACAGAGGCAATCACTTGGCAAAAGGAACAAGAAAAAACACATCAACCAGTAGGTAGGTGTTATATCTAAGTCATACAGACAGCTACCAATTAGGTCAGCTACCATGCATGAGGGACCAGCAGTGTGGCAGTACAGGCTGCCCAGAAAAGGTTGCACAAATTGAGACAAGGAGTAGGGAGCTCAAAGGTTGCAGAAGGTCCTTCTTGCATCCACATCCCCTCCACACGCAATTTGCTACCTGGAGATTTTTTTTTTTCCCTTTGAACCTATATTGGAGCTCAGGAAGGAGGTGGAACTGAATGAAAGGAAACTGAGAAGCTGCCCACAGTGTATTACTCACTCAACCTGAAGGAATACACAAACCAAACCCTCAGAGCTGGTAGCAAGGGGAGAAATGGTGCCATCTCCTAGGGAAAGGGCAGTTTCATTCTAATTAATGTTCTCAGTGCCTTAAGGTGAATTTTTTCTCATCTCCCTATGAACTACTGTCTGTTGGTTTTCCCAAAAAGACCCCCAAGACTAGTCCTTCTTATATATCTGGGTAGCCACCAGAAGTCAGCCATCTTGAAACAAGGGTTTTCCGGGATGACTCTGAAGTCATCCAAAATACCCAAATGAGACCATTAATTCCAAACCTCATATCTGAAGATGTCCCATTGTGGGAGTGACATCTTGTTGCCTATAATTTGGGTGTCTAGAAGTTAAACACCTAGTTATGTTACTTTTTAAGATAAGAGTCCTATCGCATCTCTTCTCTGCCTCCTCCAACACCTTCTGGATGACTTTTAGAGAAATGTTCCCTCTCCTGGGTGCTTTCTCCTAACCTACTCTGCTCTTTCAACACCTTATTCATTTGAATAAATGGATCTTCCTTTTTTCCCAGAGCCAAGAAGTTCAAACCCATGACACAGGCTACCTAGATTTGGGGGGAAAGTAGCTTCTGCCTGACTTGCCTCTCCTCATCCAAATATTCCACCTACACACTAAATCCCTAGAAGCGAACTTGCCTACCTCTGAGGATTCCACACTTGGTGGATGGGGGACCATCTGCTATTACTCAACAGTCAGTGGTTGAGCCAGTTACTCCTTTGGAGACTATGGACAGTATCACATCCAATTTAGAGCATTCATGCAGGTGAAAGTGAACCCAAGAGGTGGCATTCCAGTTAATATTGAGATATTAAAGAAATCGACAAGTTGCCCCCTTGTGGGTGTGGGTCAATTTCCATTCATCTGCACAAGGATCACAGAGGGTCCCTAGCTCTGTTCTACACCAAAGCTTTGACCTCTGACACCACCATCTTTTTTCCTGTCTACTCTTAGGGAGGTTGTGCTGAAGAGCAAAACAGACATCGGGGGGAAAGCCAAAAAATCACCATGGGCTGACTCGAAGTCCTTAGCAGAATTGAATGCATTCTCTCTCTGACCAAGGCCCTGTCTTGACACACCAGCGGCATGAAAGAGATAACGCAGATCCCACAAGATGTCCTAACTTAACTCCCAGGGCTTAGCCAGGTCAAGGATGGCAACTGCGTGGCATAAGTGCTACTACCCCCATCCCCATCCCCAGGGCAGCCATGATTATTCAATCACAGTACTCCTTCCCAGGTGTCTGGGCTACTCAAACCAGCATCCTCAGCAGCCACTATCAATCCATCACCGATTCAAGCTCAGGTTGCTGAAACCTATTTGCCAACCCCATGTGGTCAGACCAAACTTGCAAACACAAGAGGGAGCAAACTCTAAGCCCACCCAAAGCCAACGGTCTCTCTTGCTCTTCCTTCAGAGGCATTTGGATGATTCTAGGAAAATGCTCCTTCTCCCATATGCCTCCTTCCCACCCTCTAAGCGCTGGCCAACACCATCTCCCCTGGACAGCTGGTCCTCTAGGAGGTGACATAAAGCTAATGCCAGTTAGGAGCCAAATTCTGACTGGCAGTTGACAGGACTGGCAGAGAGCCCACTTCTTCCTTTTAGGTGCTGGCCTAAGGCTGCAAACTTGGCCAAGTGAGATGGCACCAATCCTTTTTCAGTTTATTATCACGGCCAGCAACGAGGTAACCAGCTCATTAGCACAAGTCGCTGCTCCCCTTCCTCCCTCGTACCCACCCCCAACCCACCCCTGCACCCCAGAGGAGCTAGTTGAGCTTGTTGCAGATCTCCAGCGCTTTCTTGTAGACCTGAGTCACATCATCCATGTCCGTGAGGAGGGAGAAGCTGCTGTCTCCCAGCCGGTTCCGGTACCGTTTCAGGTACTGGGGACGAGGCCGGTTCTGGAGCCCCTCAAAGTCCTGGATCTGGAGGAAGTTTTCGGCGGAGACACAGCTGCGGATACGCTGGCGGGCGGGGCGATTCTCCTGCAAATCCAGTAAGTCAAAGGAGTCACTGGACAGGACGCTGTCATCACTGATGACGCTGGAAGGCCGGCTGTAGCTCCGGGAGAGGCCCTCGGCAGGGACGCCAGGCTCCAGCAAGGATTCCAGTGTGGGCATTTCAGGGCTGGCGAGGGCCGGGTCCATGGTGCCGGTGGAGTACTTGCTGCTGTGTTTCAGGATGCCCTTCCTGCGGCAGGAGAGGCTATGGGCAGTCACCCTGGCTGGGTCTGGGGGGCTGGGAGACGGGACGCTGCTCCCCATCCCGTCGTTACTGTCCAACAGCTCGGAAGACTCACTGCGCTCCGGGGAGGAGTAATAACCCGATTCTCTCTGCTGGGTCTTTTTCAAGATGCCTTTCTTGGGCATGGTGGCTGACTGTTTGGGGCTGAGTTTACCTGGCACCTCTGCCTCGGGGGAGCTTGGGAGGGGCACGCCAGTCCGGCACAAGTCCTGCTCCATCTTGAAAGCAGAGGGTAAGGCAGGACTGACGATGCCTTCCATGAAGCCGGTGCTGTGACAGCGATGCTCACTGTTGCTTCGTTTCTTCAGGATCCCTTTGGGCCTCTTGGAACTCAACTTGGATGGGCTCTCGGGCACCGCATCCTGGCCAGACTGGGCAAAGTCATTCTCTTTCTTGGATTTCTTCAGCGACCGCTGCCGCTCCAGCATGACCTCGGAGGCCCCGGGTTTGGCCAGGCCCTTAATTTTGGCTTCGGCCTCAGCCTGCAGCCCCGTGGAACGGTGGTGCCAGTCAATAATGCGAGCCAGGAGCGGGGACTCGGAGTTATGAAGGGCATCACAGTCGCAGACGCTGCTCTTGTAGCCCCAGTTCACCCACCAGTGGTTGGCGATGTCCTCGATGGTGGCCCGGCGATCGGGGTTCACCATCAGCATCCACCGAATGAGTCCTCGAGCATCTACGGGACAAGAAACAACAAGTGGATGCATCACATGGGAGTGCTTGGCGTTGTGACAGGGCTGATACTCCAGGAGTGGCTAAGGAGAAGCGCTCACTTTCAGAAACCTCCAGTTGGAGCCCTGGTCCAGCCAAGTCTTGTAGACTATACCTAAAAGGTATCATCAAGACTCAGAACCATTGACCAGTGAGTCATCACATCCTGGCATGTTTTTCCATGTGAGTGAAGGAATGTCATGAGCCACTGAGCTTTCCGTCCACTCTGGTCTTTATATTATGGGCAAGGCCAGGTACCTGGGAAAGAATCTAGACCCAACCCCAAGCAGGGCCCCACCATTCCCTTGGTGGATATCATGTCATCAAAAAGGAAAATAGGTGTAGATTGCCATGGCTTTCTTCAGTCCTCCAAAGGTCAGCTTGTATAAACACACAGTGCTCAGTCATGAAAAGGAAATCTGGGGCTGAGATGGTGAGAGAAAGGCTTCTCCTCAGAGAGAGAAAGACAGAGAAGGACGGAGAGGCGCTCATACTTGGCACACCAGGGCAGTGAGAGGAGCCATGCCCGAGACTGGCCTTGGCCAGGTTCTGAGGCCCACACCCAGTGAGCTCACCTCCGTTCCCTCTCTGACATAAGCTATAGTGTGCTGAGCTGTCAGATCAGAGAGCTGATCTATGTCTGCTATGTGCTTACCGCCTGTCTGACAAACTCCATTTGCAAATTTCTGCTGCCAGAGAATTAAGGAAAGCCCCAAAGGGATGTCAAGGAGTACACAGGAAACGACTGACTCTCGTAGCTTCTACACTGCCTTTTAAGATCAAGCTGTGCTCTCCCTGGGAAGGCACCACCTCCTGTCAGCTGCTATGCAGGCTAATGAGTAGTTGGCAAGGGCCTGGCGAGGGGGGCAGGGTGAGTTGCACCCCTGAAAAGTACAGGGCCATCATTCATTCAGTCATTCAACAAATATTTTCTGATCCCCTGTAATGTGCCAGGAACTGTGTTGACACCAGTTAGCAGCAAATAAGGCCACCAAAGAGGTCACCCTGAAATTTCTTTAAAAAAAAAAAAAAAAGTTGGCTTATTGTATATATAATATATATATAGTATATTGTAATATATACACAAATATGTATATTCATATATATTTGTGTATATATTATATATATAATATATACACACACATATACAATAGTCAATCCTCATTTTTCACACGTTCTCTACTTGTAAATTCACCTACTCACTAAAATGTATTTGCAACCCAAAAAATCAATACACAGGGTGCTTTCCCAGTCATGTGACTACATTTGTAGAGTAGCAAAAATGTGAGTTCCCCCAACAGGCATGTGCGCTCCCAGCTGAGATCCAACAAGGAGACAACAGTCTGCCTTCTTGTTTCTGCTCTCATACTAACAAGTGTCCTTTACGTGGTCTATTTAGTCCATGTTTTTCACATTTTTGTACTTTGTGTTGTGCTGATGTGCTAGCTAGTGCTCCTCAGTACGAGAAGGCTGCGATGTGCCTTAGGGAGGAAATAGGTGTGCTAGATAAGCTTCATTTGAGCATGAGTTATGGTGTTATTGGCCATAAGGTCGATGTTCATAAATGAACGATGTATTTTACATGCGGTATCTTTAAACAGAAATATACATAAAACAAGGTTATGTATTGGCCAGTTGACAAAAACATTGTGACCAGAGGCTCATGGGAAGTGAGCCCTGTATTTCTCCGAGGAGCACTGCTTCAGTAATTCTGTGTTCACAGCAACTTTGTAGAACATAACTACCATGAGTAATGAGAATCAACGATGTGTGTGTGTATACATATATAGTGTGTATTATATATATATATATGGAGTGTCCATGTTAACTACACTCCAAAGATGGTCACGTGTACATACTCTTTTCCATGAGCACATAGCACTCTCTCATCAAGAGATGGAGCTTAGGGCCTCTGTTGCTTTGACCAATAGAACATGGCAGAAGTGATATTATCTGGTTTCCAAGTGCAGACATTAAGAAGGCCTGGCAGCTTCTTCTTCTGCCTTCTTAGAGCCCTGGGATGCCATGTAAAAAGTCCAGGCTCCCTCCTAGACTGAGAGGCCTGGGAAGATACCTCATGGAGAGAGAACCCACATGGAGGCGTCCCACAATCAGTCCCAGCCCCAGCCCCAGCTGCCATCTCACTGTAGCTGCAGGAGAAAGCCCAAGCGAGGCCAACAGGGTAGTAGCGAACTCAGGGACTCAAGAGATATGGTTACATGGTTGTTGTTTAAACCACTGAGTTTGCTTGGGGTGATGGGATAGAGCTGTTATGCAGACAACAGACAACGAAACAGCACCCACGGGCCACACCTCAGGCAAGGGGCACAGTAGTAAAAAAGGACATTTACAGTCTGGCACTTACAGTCCAATGAGGGTGTTTTATATGCCTATGTGAACTGGAAGGAACTTCATCTACTACCTTTCTCGAAATTTTAATTTTTAGTGGAGAAAATGAATCCAAACAGGGTCAGGGACTTGCCCTCGTTCACACAACAAGCAAACAGGAACTCCTAGACCACCTGCTGTGTAGAACCTTGTTCTGAAAATTTCCTTTTGAGGAGGTTTAGGTAAAGCAGCCTAGCAAGCCAGCTTTGCATGGAGAGAAGAAAGAGGAAAAGCAGGCGACTCCTTACAGACATTGAAACAGAAGCAGAAAGCGTACGCTAGGACAGGCAAGCCGAACGCTCCCACTCAACCTCTGACCCTCCACGGGCACGCACCTGAGGGCTGCGTGGGCTCCCGGTACTCTCCGCTGCTGATCTGCCGAATGAGGTTTTTGTGATCGAAACCATCGAAGGGCATTGTTCCATAAACGAGAGTGTAAAGCAACACGCCCAGGGCCCAGCTGTCCACCTGGAGCAGAGAGATAGGACATACAGGAGCTGGGTAGCAGGTTCCAGATGCCTTCCAAACCATTAGCATCACACAGTGTGAGCAGCCACCCCCGGCGACCCCGGGAGCTAATTTAGTACCTGGCAGACAGGTTCCCATGCCTCCTGACAACTGATATGCAGTGCAGCTGGGCATTTCCATTTCAAACCAAGACCTAACCTATCTAAGAACTTTTCAAATAGATTATCTTCCTTGATCCTCATTATAATTTTGTGAAACAGGGAGGGACTTCATTACTTTCAAACCTACTTGACAGATGAGAATACTGAGGAACAAGGAGCGAAATGGTTTCTCTAGAGGCCTCACCCCAGTGATGGAGATCAGACTGGGATGCAGGGCTTTTCACTCCTAATTCAGGAATCAGTTCCTTCCTGTGTCCTCTTCCAATGCATCAGGGGTGGCAAACCCAAATGCTTCAAAGAGCCAGGCAGACAACAAACATGAACAAAGCAAGAGAGAATTTGGGGGACGACACGGAGTGTTGGGGACAGAGACAAACTGTAGAGTACATTCACCCATCTGAAGCAGGCAGCCTCCCCTGGCTCCTTGCTGCCACATAGTAATGTAGACCCAGCACTGTTAGATCTTTTGTTCTTTAAGAGATGTCAGAAACCAGATTTTTATGTAAAACCTCTATTATTAAGCATTTGTTCAATTTTTTTTTAGAAAAATTGTCTTTAGAAAGACAATTTTTTTAGAAAGACAAATAAAGCATGCTTGCTGGCCAGGTCACAGACTGCCAGCTTGTAACCTCGGAAACAGATCCTCAAAGATCAAAGAAGCATTCATTATCTATGATAAATTTACAGTGTCGAGTTTCTACAGTTTTGTAAATTGAATCCTATGCTCCTCCCTTACATTCTTATTTCAGAAAGACGTTCTCTTCACTGCAATTGGTAGAGGCTCTTGGCATCCTTCTCTTCAGCCTCCAACCCTGCCCCCAAACACTCTCAAACAGATAAATATTTGAAAGGAAGCATTTCCATCCACTGAGCAGCTGCTATTTAAAGGATACTTGAGTGAATGCATCTCTCTGTAAAAAGAACCATCTTTTTAAAAGAGAATAGTCACTCGCAACTCACCCACTTTCAAAATTACATTTTTCACATACACATCTTTTACAGTGGTCATGAAAGCTTTAGCCACATAGAGAAATGCACTGCTCATGAATTTAGAAGGTGAAATTAAAATGTATTTCCTTAATCAAAAAATACATGCTGTCAAAAATATTTGCAAAAAGATATTCACTCCCAGAGTTAGGGGTAGTTTGGTTTGCTATTTGTTTCCTCTGTTTTGTTATAATGAGGAAAAACTGAAAATAATCTGATTGTCTCAATCTTGGGAAGTGATTCGATTATGGTATATTTATTCACACGATAAGACACTGTGTCATCATTAAAAACCATATTTTGAGTAACGAATTCAGAAAATGTCACAATATAACATTAAGTTTAAAAAAGGCAAGATATATATGCACACACATATGTACATAAATAGTGATCTCAATTATTTTAGAAATGCAGAGATTGACACTGCAAGAAATCTTTTTTTTTTAAAATCACAAAAATATTAAGTGATTATCTTTTGTGGGTCAACTGCAGGTAACTTTATTTTCTCTTTTACGCTTTCTTGGACTTTTCACATTTTCTCACAGCGGTGTATGTTATGGCTTTTATAATTATATAAGGAAAAGTTTTCTTTGCTTTTTTTTGTTTTTTTTTAAAGTATTTCCTGGATCCAGTTCTTACTCCCCTCCCTCTTCTTCCCCCAAGTCCTCCACCTGCTCTGTCATACACAACAGGCAACCTGCTCACCTCTGGCCCTCGGTAAGGCCTCCCGTTGACAATTTCAGGAGATGCATAGAGGGGGCTCCCACAAAACGTTTGCAAGAACTTGTCCTTCTGGTACAGGTTAGAAAGCCCAAAGTCAGCAATCTACAAAGACAAGCAAGATCCGAGGAGGTTCATTAGCAGTGCAGTAAGTGTCTGCATGGGATCAGCTCAAGCCACAAAGCACTAGAGCAGCTGAGGGGTCCCCAGGTAAGTCTGCCAGCTGGGCCGCCCTTTTCTCTCCAGGCCTGGGTCTTCATAAAAGGACTGGTCAGCACAACTGGGCCAGTGATTCCCAACTACAGTCCTTGGCATCCAACCCAAATTCCGCCATCTTGGCACACTACACGCTCTATTCTTACCTAAAATTACTCCTTACATGGACTCGCTATCTTCACTTCAGTTTAGACTTGCCTGAGAAATATCCACAAAATCATAGCCTTGGTGTTTCTGATGAACATTAAATTGTATAACTATTAATTTGAAAGTTGTCCATCTGTGGCCTACCAAAAATCACACTGCACCACAGTGGTGTGCATATCACATTTTCGAAAACCCTGACCTGTGCCCAGGACACCACCACCTTTTTATCCACCCACGCTCTGACCAAAACTATAGTTTGCCCACATTGTGACCACAGATGAAAGGGATTCAGGGCACTGGGTTTTGAGTCATTATATTTCAGCCCAAACTCTACTATCAGCCACCTATGTGACATGGAGCAGGTCACTTAGCTACTCAGAGTCTCAGCTTACCCACCAGAAAATGGGAATCCAGGATCCCTACCCTGTTCTAGCTCACAGGATTAAGTGAGGGTGACACAAAAAGAGATCAATCAGAGGAGACCATGCATGCACAAGTGCTTTATAACCTTCAAGTGTTCGAGTTCCGTGCAAATGTTTGACCTAACCTGGCTTCTCATGTACTGCACACCCCTTGGGGTCATTCTCTTTTCCCTTTGGTCTTTGAAGAGTTTTATTTATTACCTTTTATGGCAACATTCTTCCATCTATCTATCTATCTATCTATCTATCTATCTATCTATCTATCTTTTCTCATATACATATATAGATATATATAAAATGCATATGTATGTATGTACATATCACCTACATACCACATATGTACATATAATGTATATACCAGGGGTGTCAAAAAACATATACATTTTAAGCGATGTTATTGACACTTTGTCAGCATTGCTCAAGCAGTAGTTCGCCATAATCAGAAATGTCTGGACGCTGACAGTAACCACTTTGAGCACCTCTTGTAACTGCAGAAGTCAAATGTGACTTGTATTCATCTTTTGTTATCAGTATATACTAATACAGTTTTTTCCTTTCTTAAAATGTTTATACATTTTTGGCACCCTCTGTACATGTATATATTATCAAATATATCACATATATACATATAATGTATATGTATTATATACGTATGTACATATACGCATATGTATAAATATATATACATTCGCCTTGCCTATGACACTCTGCGTCCCCTGAGGCAGGTGGCAGGTTCTACATTTTCCCTTATCTTTGTATCATCCACTGCTTAGCACCTGTCCTCACCCAAGAAACACATGTCACTAGAATAGGCATTATATCTTGAAATGCACAATTAGTAGAAAATAACAAAATACTGATAAACTTAATTACCACTTATTGAACAACTTCCAATTGTTGGGCACTGTTTTAAGCACTTTACACTCTCTAATCTAATCCTATCTAAAACCCCATTGACACAACAACGTCAATGTACTTCATGGCATTGGAACTGTGTATCTGAAAAGAATTAAAACGGTAAATCTTATGTTATAGATATTTTACCACAATTTTTCTTAAAACCTATTTAACAGATGAGGGAACTGAGGTTTAGAGAGATCAGGTTACACATCTCAGGAGAGCTAGCTAGTAAGTGTCCACATAAACCTCTGCGTCTCTAAAGCGTCAAAGCACTTTGCCACATTCCCCCTTGGAAACGGCAAATTTCACTCCGCTCTAAGCCTTTCACTTCCAGCCTTGTAAGCTGGCCTCTGCCATTTCCCAAGCTGAGTTCCATTGGAGGCTTATAAATATGCTGAGTGATTCACATGCCCAGGGAGCAGCCCAGCCTGACCACAAAAGCACTGAAGCTCTGTTTTGAACACAGCCCCCAGAATAAGCCTATTTCGTAAAAGTCATCTCTGAATGAATGGAATGTCATTGAAAGTAGCTAGTGAAAACCCACCCTCAGGAAACACATTCTTGGGGCACAGACAACACTTAATTGCGCTGAATTCCACTTTCTTATCGAGGCCCCTGATTCTCTTGCAGGAAGTTGGTTGGAAGCTCTATGAAGTGTGCCCTGTCAATCAGAAGAGGAATGGGATGGCTGCAGCCCTTGGGCGTCCCGAGAAGTTGCAGGCTTCGTCCTCTCCGACTGCAGCTAAGGCAGGAACTACACAGCACAGTGCACGTCCTGAGGAAAATACATTCCTTCCCACCCCAATGTCTGCGGCATCTGGGGCGCCTACAAGTTTCCAAATACACACATCTGAGAGAGGCGCCCGCCAGCTCCACGTGCAAATAAATCTCTGCACGCACACACTCACACTGGGAGTTCTCCAAGTCTGGGCATCCTTACTTTCTTTGTAGCCCTTCTGAGAAGCGTGTTTATGTTGTACCCAATCCCATCCTCGCAGACTGATGTTTATCAGACTCTCCCAGTAAAACTGTCATTGCCACTGACAGAAGATTAATAGAAATCTAGATTAGTCCATGTTCTTGGCACTTCAACGGAAAAGCAATATTAATCAACATATACAGGCACACATAGTTCTCAAACCTTGAGCCACTTAAACTTGGACTGCAGGTCTAAGATTTCCTGCCATGTGGAGCTTATATCAACTATAAGAGGGGAAATGGCCACTGGTTATGAAACTTCTGAAAGCCTCAGTTTTCTCATCTGCAAAATGGAGGCAGGAATAGTATCTACCCCCACAGTGTCATGGTGAAAATTCAGTGACGTAATGGACGTAAAATCCTTAGAGCAGTAATTAGCACAGAGTTGAAGCTCAATAAATATCTGCTTCCCACCTTTAAATCCACATAGGTAACTTGCAGTAACTTCATGATACTCCAAGTGATACTAGTTTTCCATTGATGAAAATTAATAAGGCTTCCTTTTCAAATAAATATAATTTTTAAAAGCAAACTGAATGAAAAATATTAAGTAAAATAGCACAGAAGAGATTAGGAAAAGGCAAAATCCAAGAAAATACTGAAAGAAATTTGGGAAATTTGGGAAAGCTGAAATTTGGGGAGTAATAATTTTTAAACATAATAAAACAAAAATAACCGAATCTCAGAAATGGTTTCAACCTGAAAGAACCTTAAGAGATGAGCTAATCATCCGCCTTGCTCTTTAACCGAAGCAACTAGCGGTCAGAGGACTTGAGAAGCTTTGCTGAAGGTCACAGACACAGAACAACCATGAGTGTCAGGTTCCCAACCTGTGTGCTTTCTCTGTAACAGAACATCAGTTGTGTAGAGAGGGCGACTCTCTGCCAAGGAGGCATCTGGGCTTTGCTTGTAAAGCTGTATTTTGCTGACACACCAGTCACCTTTGGAGAGAGGCTTTGTATTTTTGCTGGTGATGGGTTTTTCCCCTGCCCCATACTGGTTCAGAACTGCCCTCTGTCCCCACACTGGACTATTCAGTGCAGCCTGGACTCTGAAAAGGAAACTGGGAAGTCAATCGCCAAGCCTTTCATTTTTGAAGTTTTTGTTGTTATCAAGCCTTTCTAGCTTGCTGGATAAAAATCAGAGTTAGAAGATAAACTAGGAAGTGATTTTTCACATTTCAAAAGAATTCACTTCGCTATAGCATGGTTGAACCTTGAAGACACTACTAATTGAAACAAGCCAGACACAAAAGGATAAATATTATATGATTCCACTTACATGCGGTACCTAGAGTAGCCAAATTCATAGAGACAGAAGGTAGAGTGGTGGATGTGGGGGGCTGGAGGGAGGGAGGAATGGGAGCTGTTTTTTAATGGGGACAGAGTTTTAGTTGGGGAAAAGCTGCAAAAGTTCTGGAGATGGATGGTGGTGATGGTTGCACAACCATGGGAATGTACTTAATGCCACTGAACCGTATATCTAAAAATGGTAAACTTTATGTTTCGTAGATTTTACCACTATTAAAAAAAAAGGATTAACCTCAGATCACATTAATAATTACTGTGAGCTCACTCGATGAAAAAGGAAGTATCAGCTTGCTGATGGTTAACCGCTGGGAAAGGGTGCTGATAACAATGATAATACAAGCAATGGTGTGACAGTCATTTGCAGTGTCTAAGAGGAAGCACAGTGGGCTGGACAGGTCAGAGGTTTAGGAGTCAGAAGAACCTGAGGCTAACTTTGGCCTTAGCACTCCTAGGTGATTGGTGGGACCTGCCAAGTCACTCAATTTCCTCATCTGCAAAATGGGAATAAAAGACCCCACCTCACAGGGGTGTTACGAGAATCAGAGAACACCCATGTAAAGCCCTGGAATAGTCCTACTCCCAGCTGACTGTAAATTACAGCCATTACGATAGTGCGATGGTTTGGTTTACTTTACATTGCTTGCTAAGGAAGACAAAGTTAGAACTGACTGCACTAAAGCCACTGCCCACCAAAGAGCCGAGAGAAATTATCATCATCCATTTCTGAAATAAGCATGTCCGACATGAGAGGCTGCACTGCTTGACGGGAAAAGTAAGGGATGGAGGGATGCAGGGCTTGCGTGTTTGCGTTCAAATCCTGGCCTCACCTCTTCGCAGCACTAACCTTAGGCACCTTGGTTAATCCCTCCCCCCTCCACTGAGATCCGTCGACCAGCAGCATCGGCACCGCTGAGTCAGGGCCTGCATTTTAACAAGATCCCCAGAGGGCTCACCATACTCTGAACCTGGGTTTCTTCCTCTGTAAAACTGGTGTGATAATAATAACATAACTTAATCAGTAATTTTGTAAAGATTATGTAGGGTGCCAGATGGGTACTGGACTTATCAGGGGGATCACTTCATAGGTTGTGTAGATGCCTGACCACTGTGCTGTGTACCCGAAGCTGATGTG